GCACACACACACACACACACACACACACACACACACTCACCCCCCCCACACACAAATAAAGAACAAAAACAAACATGTTGGCAAATTCAAATATTCTATAGCTGGAAACTTTTTTCGGTTATTGAGTGAACGTAATGTCAGCACTGAAGGGAAAATAGCAAACAATATTATTGAGCCAACGCCTGTGGTGTCATTTTTACGCTCACGGGGTACCCACTACGGACGGGATCGGCCGATCGGGCCGATCGCCCGACTCGACCGCCTCAAAAACAAACGTCTTTGTTTACAGTTTCAGGCGATCGAGTCGGGCGATCGGCCCGATCCAGCTGTAGTGGGCGCCCCGTAAGGCTTGCACGAAAAGGACGTGAGCTGTATTCCCCCGAGAAATTTAATTTTTATCGAGATTTTGCGTGTTGCCGCTTGGGCTGGTTCCAGCGCGTGTCGAACCTGACAGACGGAGTCAAACCGTGGGGCGAACTGAATAGTTTTGTTGTTGTTATTTTTTACGCCCACATCGCCACTAGATCTATTTAACTCATTTAGGAGGTGGTAGTACATCGATGCAGAAATAGCTGTACGTATGAATAAAGTGGGTGCACCCTTTGGAAGACTCAGAGCAAAGGTTTTGGACTGCTATGACATTCGTACAGAAACAAAGTTGAAACGGAGATGGTTGAAAGTCTACAATGCTGTTGTCCTCCTGACCTGGACCGTGAACCAAAGCCATACCAAGAAGCTCAAACTCAATCATCTCTACTTGAAGTGTCTCTTTGAGGGTATCTGCCACTTCTGTATTTTTCGTATTTTTTGCATGTTTTATTTGAGCTTCTGTTTTTATACCCAGAATCTTCCTTTCCATTGAAAATTTCGTATACTTGCCCCAATTTTCCAGATAAGCTACGCAGTTTCCCAGTCTCTCAACCTGGAGCTGGACAAAGGAACCAGCGGGGACATCTTCTACTTCTCCCTCACCTTCACCATCATGATCACCTATGCGTCCATCGTAAGCTCAGGTGAGATTCTTGTTTCGTTGTTTTCATTTCCGGGGGAGGGGGGGAGGGCGTATACCTTTAACGCTGGGCTAGTTACAGTAACAGGTGGATGACAGGGACAGATCAAGATATGTAAGCTTTTTAGAGAGCATCCCAGCAAAGGAATGAATGAGAACCATGAACGCCGATGTCTGTCGCAGATCTGGCATTTGTTGATGAGATACAATTAGTCGTTTTTAAGTTTCTCTATGCAGATGCTTTATGGCCCGGTTACACGTAACGATAGATTGTACAAAAACTGGACGATAAAGCGATCATACGATAAATCGTCAGGTGTAACCACAAAATTGTACAAAATGTGGACGATTGAACGGTGGTTTGGAGACTCGGTCGAGAAATCAAGCGCTGCCTGATATTTTTCGCGCGATCACGGTCACACTTGAGGAAGACGCGCTGTGACGTAGATTCACTTTGAAGTTTGCCGCCGCGCGGAACTAAACTCACGGCTCAAAATTTGTAAAATAATTATCGTAGATAAAAACTGATTCAGCGTCTCAAAGTAAGCAATGTTGTTCGCGAAGAACCTGATTTGGTGCATTATATA